GGGATTGATTTTGGGGATTCCCATGGGATTGGGGATTGATTTTGGGGATTTCCATGGGATTGGGAATTGATTTTGGGGATTCCCATGGGATTGGGAATTGATTTTGGGGATTCCCATGGGATCGGGGATTGATTTTGGGGATTCCCATGGGATCAGGGATTGATTTTGGGGATTCCCATGGGATCGGGGATTGATTTTGGGGATTCCCATGGGATCGAGGATTGATTTTGGGATTCCCCATGGGATCCCCTCTTTTCCCAGTGGATTCCATCGATTCCCATTGGGATTCACTCCTTTCCCAAAGGATTTTCTCTTTCCAGAGGGATCAGGCGCAGATTTCCTCAGGATCCCTCTGTTCCCAGGGGATCAAACGCTGATTCCTGTGGGATCTCTGCATCTTTAGGGGATCCAACGTTGATTCCTGTGGGATCCCTCCGTTCCCAGGGGATCAAACGCTGATTCCTGTGGGATTTCCCCTTTCCCAGGGGATCCAGTGTCGATTCCTGTGGGATTTCTGCATCCTTAGGGGATCCAATGTTGATTCCTGTGGGATTTCCTCTCTCCCAGGGGATCCAGTGTCAATTCCTGTGGGATCTCTGCATCCTTAGGGGATCCAGTGTCAATTCCTGTGGGATTTCTGCATCCTTAGGGGATCCAATGTTGATTCCTGTGGGATTTCCCCGCTCCCAGGGGATCCAGGGCTGTGTCCAGCAGGATCCCTCCTTTCCTGGGGGCTCTGGGGTTGTGTCCAGCGGGATCTCCCCATTCCTGGGGATCCCCACATTCCTGGGGTTCCGAGGGTCAGTCCAACATAGGATTCTGCCTTTCCCGGGGGGATCTGGGGCTGTGTCCAGTGGGATCTCCCCTTTCGTGGGGGATCGTCCAGTGGGATCCTTCCTGTCCTGGGGCTCCGAGGGTCAGTCCAACAGAGGATTCCCCTTTTCTTGTGGGGTCTGGGGTTGCGTCCAGTGGGATCCCTCTTTTCTTGGGGCTCAGAGGGTCAGATCCCCCCGGGTCTCCCCCATTCCTGGGGCTCCGAGGGTCAGTTCCCAGCAGGATCCCTCCTTTCACGGGGGGTCTGGGGTTGTGTCCAGCGGGATCTCTCCTTTCCTGGGGTTCCTCAGGTCACTCCCCCATTCCTGGGGCTCCTCAGGTGACTCCCCCATGGTCTCCCCCATTCCTGGGTCTCCCTGGGTCTCCCCCATTCCCGGGTCTCCCCCATTCCC